TCTCTAAAGAAACTGACTTAGTCTCCTTCACAGAGAATATTTTCCCTAATATGGCTTCCTGTATCAGAATCCATTTCTTCTCCACCAAATATTCATTCGTTGATTCATTCATTCATTTCATCAAACATAATATCTAACATGTGTGCTCCCTGCTATATAACTGGGTATGTTGAGGCAAAATGGAATAGTTTTTTCCTCAGGGCAAATATTTTTTAGTCACTTACTAATGTCAACATATACATTCTTATTATTACTATTTTTGAGATAGGGTCTTGTTCTGTTACTATTTTTGGGATAGGGTCTTGCTCTGTCACCCAGGCTGGAGTGTAGGAGATTATGGCTCACTGCAGCCTCCAATCCCTGGACTGAAGTCATCCTTCCACCTCAACCTCCTGAGTAGCTGAGAGTATGGGCCAGACCACCACACCTGGCTTCATTATTTATTTAATTACCTCAACAATTCTATGAGGTAGATACCAGGATAATCCACTCTCATTTTTCAGCTGAAGAAACCTCTTGTCTTCATGAAATCGACTAGATGACATAAGGGCAAACAATACAAAGAGGAACAATTAAACATGCTGAAGTTAGCGGTGTGCACCTTAGGGCTGTGGGATTTCAGAAAAGGAAGAGATTGCTGTCGTTTGGAGTGTTCAGGGATGACCTCATTATGGAAATGGGATGTGATGTAGACCTGAAGAACAGAAGGATGGGGAGAATTTGGATGACTGGAAGAAAGGAGCTGGGGGATTAGGGACTGAAGGGATAGCATGGGCAGAGATTCGGAGGTTGGTATAAGTGTGGTTCTTTTTTGCTATCACCAAGGGATTTGGTCTGACAAGAATGGAGCACTGGTGGTATAAAATGGATAACGCTAATTATCAGACTGAAGAATGTCCTGTAGGTACTAAGGGGAAATTCAGGATTCTAAGAAGGGAATCTGAACATTGAGGAAAGAGTTCTAGGAGAGATTTGGGACATGAGGAGGACATGAGGGCCAGAGAACAGTCAAATGTAACTAAGGCTTTCAAGTTTGGATGACTGGAATCGTGGGAGATGGAGACATCTGGTTGGTTACTTCGGGCCAGGGGTAAAAAATATGGCAACCTAAAAATACAAAAGGGAAGTGCAAGTGCTGTTTGTCTCCCGTTCACTTACTCATTTCTTCAAAAACTTTGTGATTGAGACCATTCCAGGATCTGTGGCAATAGAGGAGCCCAAACCCCACAGGTTCACTGAAGGAAGACACTCTAGTGTGGGATGGCTAGAGAAGAAGGGCAGCCAATAGCAGGATCTTGATGAGTAGGATGTGGGAGCAGAGGAAGATGGTATTTTAGATGTAATTTCAACCAGAAAATATGTATTATTTCAATTCCACATGTATTTACTGTAGCATCCAAAGAGATGCCAGGGAGAAGAAAATGGTAAACTTGTAGCTAGGAAGAAAGATATGTACTTATTCTCTAAAAGGGCAGAGTTGTAAGCTGAAGATCACTAGTAAATTTCTAATTAACTAAGTCCAGTATATTTGCTCAACTTTCTTTTAAGGGTAATTATTTGAAGCTTTTGACTGAGTTCTTACCTTTACAAAATTCTCTTTCTTTGCTTCTGAATGTTTAATTTTTTTCTCTTGTCTTATAACCTTTTTTTCTTTCAATGAATTTGATTTTCTTCCCCACCCACAAGGATCCCTGGCCTCAGCTTTCTATTTGCTTCAACAAACACACTCAGTTGTAAATCTCATAGTCCTATGATGTCTAACACCATCTGAGTATATTTGCATAACTCTCAAATCTCTATCTCCAGTCCTAACTTCTTAGGTTTCAATTCCTCATTTCCAAAGGACATTCCCATATTCCCATATCTATATATCTTTTATATGAAAATACTTATGTCCAAAGTCTGGTTCAAGATCTTCTCAAAATTAGATCCTTCTGTAAATCTAGAAATAGCAAGTACTGCTATATTCTAAACATGTAGATCTGTAATTCTGAAGCCATTTTGCCTCTATCATTCAGAGAATCAATTACTTATTAAGAAGTGATGTTGCTAATTTCATCACTGTCTCCACCTTAGGACAAGATTTTTATCACTTCACACCTGGATAACTACAGCGACTTTCAGTTGGTCTCTCAGAGTCTGGTTTTCACCCACAAAAATCATGGTAGCATAACATGACCCAGACTCTTCTGTCTGGTGCTTTATATTCTCCACCATCTGGCTTCAACTTAAATGTCCAGCTTTATTTCCCATAAATTGCCTCCTAGGACTCACTGATTCAGCCAAAACCCTTTACTCACTATCCTCTGAATAGATGTCACACTTTCCCTTCTTGGCTTACAGACTCCTCTTTAGCTAGAAAGCCCTTCTTCACTCCTCCATGACTATTGAAAATGTATTTAGTTTGAATTCTACCTCCTTCACAAAACCTGATGTGAATGCCTAGTCCATAGACTCTCTCTTACTTCTGAAATTCAAATAATTATGGGCCAGGTGCAGTCGCTCATGCCCGTAATCCCAGCCCTTTGGGAGGCTGAGGTGGGCGGATCACCTGAGGTCAGGAGTTCAAGACCAGCCTGGCCAACATGGCAAAACCCGATTTCTACTAAAAATACAAAAATTAGCTGGGCTTAGAGATGCATGCCTATAATCCCAGTTACCAGGGAGGTTGAGGCAGGAGAATAGCTTGAACCTGGGAGGCAGAGGTTGCAGTGAGCTGAGATTGTGCCACTGCACCCCAGCCTGGGTTAGAGTGAAATTCTGTATCAAGCAAAACAAAACAAATCAAAACAACAACAACAAAAAAAAAACAAATAATTATGGCTCCTACCATTTGTTGTAGATTTATCATACATTTTCACTTATTGTTCACCATTATTTTTTTCAGGTATATTAGTCTCATCTTCCAAATTAAATGATAACCATGTTTTAGTCTTCCTGACCCATCTTCCACCACACATGAACACAACAGTGACTATATAGAGTACCCTCAATGAATACTTATTGATTTATTTATTGACTGAATACACATGAACTACAAGGTACAGCAGGTATTATGAAGAAAAAGGGGTCTTTTAAGCCTGGTGAAAGGACATTCAGGATTGATTTTTAAACCTTCTAAATAGAAGCAATTTTTATTAACCTCACTTTAAGCTCTAGGTGTATACAACAGCTAGTAAATTGTTACTTTGTGGGATAAGTTTTCTTTTGTGACACTTTAAGTGCTTATAAAGGTAATAAAAATCAGCTTTTATTTATGCTGAAGGCTGAAATTTAACATTTATCTTGAAAAGGAACTCAAAGCCATTTTTGATCCCATGAGTTGGGACATTATAGAAAGTAACTAATTCATGGTATTATTAAAATGTTTTAACATGAAGTTATTTTATCTTGTTTCTATTTTTACATGGTGATTAATACCCGTGTAACACAGAATATTAAAACTAGAAGTATTCTTATCAAGAAATTAGTTCGGTTTATTCATTTGCAGTTGTGGAAACTGAGTTCCAAAGAGGAAGACCGACTTGCCCAAGGGTACAATCTAGTCATTGTCAGGCTGTGTGTAAAAATTAGGCTTGTTGGTGCTTGATTCTATACTTTTTCTAGAATAATATATTGCAAAGTTTTATTTTTGTACCTTAAATTGACATTATTCGGATAAATACAGTGACAATAGGTTTTTATTATTTCCCTTATTTTATACCGAGGAAAGTAAATGTATGCTTTTAAGTTATTAATAAGCTCATTTTTTTTTTTTTTCCTTTGAGACGGAGTTTCACTCTTTTTACCCAGGCTGGAGTGCAATGGCGCGATCTCGGCTCACCGCAGCCTCTGCCTCCTGGGTTCAGGCAATTCTCCTGCCTCAGCCTCCTGAGTAGCTGGGATTACAGGCACGCGCCACCGTGCCCAGCTAATTTTTTGTATTTTTAGTAGAGACGGGGTTTCACCATGTTGACCAGGATGGTCTCGATCTCTTGACCTCGTGATCCGCCCGCCTCGGCCTCCCAAAGTGCTGGGATTACAGGCGTGAGCCACCGCGCCCGGCCTTAATAAGCTCATTTTAAACAGAAACAGAACACGAGCAGTTTATTATGATGTGTATCAACATAACGGTTGATATAAATATCATCTTAGTTTTTTGAATTTTATAAAACTTCAAGTTTTTTTTTCATGGATGAGTTGAGTACAAGTAGTTATGTGATTTTTTGTTTTGTTTTCTTTTGAAAGATAATTTTATAGTGGACACTATGCTAATATTTATGATGGTAGTGTAGAGGACTGTTTGAAACACCAAAAAAAAAAAAGAAAGAAAAAAAAAAAGTCTTATCTAGAAAAAGAGAGATAAACATGTAAATTTGTGTTGAGAATGTGAGAGAAGATGCCATTCAGTGTTTGGGAAAAAACATGGAATAACTGTAATGTTTTAGTTTCATTAAAAATAAGTAAATTTGTCAATTCTTCTCTAAAACTTCTGCCTGAAAAAAATTATTTAGAAGGGTTCAAGGAGGCAGAGGATTATAAGTAAAAGAAGAATTAAAAGGAACTCAGATGATTAATTATGATCATGGAAATTTGTCTTTCTAAAAAAAATTTTATAATCTAAATTACACTATATCATTTGAATTCTCAATGACTGATATCAAGCAGTGGCTAGTAGAGGTATATCATATCCTAATTAAAAAAATTTTTTTGCAGTCTTTTAAAATAGGAATACTACTAGAAATTCACCCAAGTCATGCAATGAAAGGATCCTTTCATAGAATTAAGTATTCCTGAGCTTCACAGGCAAATTAGTGGTAAGAGAATGAAAGACATATTTGCTTAGTAAAATACCAAAATATAAGAAATTTTTATCTGAAACAAAACCAGAGACCTATAAAGTCTGACTTACTTGTTAAGTCACAGAGATACAAATGGATGGGTCAGTGCTTCTTTCCCTGCCTCACTAAACTCACATGACACAGGACGAATATGGTCTGAGCGTGGCAAACATAACTCACCTGTACCATTGTTAATTGTGGTCTGGATCGTGGCTTCTGGCCCCATAGTGTCATAGTCTTCCTTCATTTCTTCTGTGGGGGAAAATTATCTTTAGCATTTGAGAATTGTAGAAAGGCTTACTATACTAAGCATGCCAAGCACAGGAACAAGGAAGATTCTTTTAAAGGAAACAGAGAAAAGGCTTGTTGTAAACCTCTAAACAATAGCTTTGTTCAGGCAATTGAATGAATCCAATAGTGCTAGCTGCACAAGAACTTATTTACTTTAAGCATTACTGCAAGCTGTGAAAAACAGAAGTGCTTATTTGGAGCAAACGAAGGGCTTTTCTTCTGGTGGCAGTTCTAGTGACAAACGGGGGAAAGATATTATTTTTTCAATAAGAGTCAAAGCAACTAAGTATTTGTACTCATGAAGAGGCATGCTGGCTGCTATGCCCCTGGAAACTCTGGATGCTGAATGGCAAGTCAGAATTTCACATTTTGTTTTCATGCTTTTCTTTCCCCATAAGATGGCTATGATGGTGCTAATCTATGCAAGCATACTTTTGGAAAACCTAATTCTACATATCAAAACTTGAAATGTCCAGTTTGTACAACAAACATCCCAGAGGTATCATCAATACCTGTTTCCCTGTTTGATAAAACGTATCTGCCCTATTCCTATCCCAACCACTCCATAAATATCTTCTTGTCATCATCATTTATGTCCCAGTAGGTAATCACAATCATTTTCTAGGGAAACATATATAACAACAGCTCAATGTTCTGATGAAGGTGAATATATAATGTTGAAGTTAAAAATTCATAAACAATTAAAGTTCATTGTCAAAAATTGCAGTATTTTAAAATAAGGGAGAATTTGAAAAATAGGGGAACGCTCCAATTTTCTGCCTACCAGATTGTGGAGGATGTAGGAGGGCAGAACAGGATGGCTGACAGTTAAAAACTTCTTAAGTGAGTAAATTAAATGTGAAGTTTAAAAAATTGTATTTTTACTATGACAATACTAATGAAACCAAACATGCTCGAGGATGACTATCTCTCTGTGATAATCATTTTACTTGAAACAAGGGAAACTTTGTAAATAGGACTCTACAAATTCCCAAATTTGTCCTGGTCATTCTTTGCCTATCATATTCTAATCTACTTTCATGAAAAACAGGTTCTAGAAAATGTTATCGCCAAAATAAAATATATATATTTTACAAGCAGTGCAGCAAATCTGTTTATGGCATCAGAACTGAAAAATCATGACACTCTTAAGGTAAAATACACAGATATACATAGATGCTAATTTAATGCCACTCTTCATAATAATCAGATAATTTGAATGATATTTGTTTAAGCTGTACAACCACTTTAGATTCATTCCTGAGCAAGGAATTTTCCTTTATTTAAAAAATATTTTCAGAGGGACATTTGACATTAAACATTTAGAAGTTTAATATATAGCAAGATTGTATTGTCAATTGTAATCATCGATCATTTGAAAGTCTCCCTCGTCTGATATTTTTATCAGTCTCTGCAAGGAATTAAGTTAAGGTATTTCTGAGAAGTTCAGTACTAGATATAAATATAGCTTTTGTGTCTTTCTTCCTTGCTCATCTCATGTGATTTCTGGTAGCCAAGAGTCACAAGAATCATAAGTTTTCCATCTGAGGGCACATCAAGTCACTGAGGGGAAAACAGTTAACAGCATTTTTTTTTTTTTTTGCATAATAGTGGTAATGTTCAAGATTTCTGCTGCACTTCCTTCCTCATTGTCATTTTCTTATGAAAAAGTAAAGAGAAGTTACAGTAGTTGGTTGCTTCCCAAATTAATAAACGCTGGGTATACAAATGTGTAGTCAGCACATTGTGTAAATTGCATTTTGTAGTATTATTTAGTTATAACCCTTTTAATCCAAAGACTGTGCAACTGAGATCTTTCAGAGATGTTGGATGAGACAGTGTCACTTTTACCTAGAATGTACTTTGCTTTGATTCACTGAGCATCAATCTTTTTCTTTTTTGCATATCAGGTTCAATGTATTAAAATGAAACACTAAGCCTTTTCAGGTATGCATTTGAAATACTATGTATATGCCTATTTAATTAAGTTTCAAGTGAATTCCATATTCAGAAGGACATAGTGATACACTGTTTAGGAATTAAAGGCAATCTGGCTGTCTTTCTGCCTTACATCTAACCTTAAACATTCTCTAAGACACCTCTGACTCAGCATACTGTGTCTAAAACCACATAGTATATTTATTTTTAAAACACTTGTAAAAGTTTGCATCTTCCAGTCACCTCTGGGACTAAGGTTTGTAAAAATAAAGAGCACTTTCTTCCTTAAGATGAAGAATCCTTGAATAAGCAGAAAGAGGCCAAGATGCAGGTGATTTATTTAAGTCTGTGTCAATGATAATGATGTCATGGTTTCCAGCACACTGTGTCCACCCCATTGTGGGACGAAAGAATGTCAAGGACAATTCCAAACACAAAACTTTGATTGTGCTGGAACCGGAAAGGCACAGTAAGAACTCCACTGCGCTCTTCAGTTCAAAACCTGCATCCTGCAGACAAACTCCAGAAAGCATGGGAGAAAGAGCAAAGGAGAGAGCGCTTATCTCAGAGTTAAGCTATGTGCTGAGGTATGACTGTAGACAGCCAGGCACCGGGGATAAAACACTACTAAATAAAACTGCACCAGAATTAGAGTTATTGTCTATATTGTGTGTTTTGAACAATAAATAAGAAAAATATTTTATCAGAAGAAAAATGTGTTATCTCGAGTCAGGATAAACAATGAGTAGCTTTTTAAGACCAATTTCTTTTCATTAGACATCAAGGCACCACATCAGAGCACTTTTAGAACAATAAAAAAAAAAGAACAATAAATCATTACTAATCATTAGAACTAGACAGGTAATAGCCGGGTAACTTTCTTGGTCCAAATAGCCAAATGAGATTAGGGATTTACATTTTATTTAATTATTGTGACTCCAGAATGCTAGTTTATTTACCATAAAGGTAAGAGCAAAGAACAGCCTGTTCATTTGTATCAGAGGCACCATTAACTGCAGGTGATAACAGGGTCTGCAATGCATTCATATGGATTACTGTATATTAGAACATTTAGAATTATGATCCATGACCAATGCAAAAAGCTGCCACAATCACAAACTACTACAGCTCGACATTGCTGTTTGGCTGTTTTTCAACTATTGATCTTAAATTTTTTTAATTAAACTTTTTTTAAAGAAGTTTGGAGGATACATTTGTTACATCGTTATTAATTATTCCTCTAAGGGTGGAAATTCTAGTAATTGGTCCTTACCCTTGATTTCTAGATATTAAAATTTAAAGCATCAGAACATTCATTCTTATAGCCCTGCATATCTAGTTCATTAACAAATATGAATAGCTAACACCAGCTCATTTAAATAGTATGTCTTACATGAGTTCTCGCCACACTCTGTTTCTGTCACACTGCTCCCAAGAATCATTGGCTCTTATTATACATGTAAATGGCTATCATAAAAATAAAAATTTCATTTAAGATTGTTAATGACTTCTGCAGCAGTCAGACTTCCTTTAATGATCATCCTCTGCCCCTAATTAAACGTATTTATCTTTCAAGCATCTTTGGCTGAGTTCTCCCTCATAGTTGAAAATCTAAAACCTTAAGTCTTAATGGATATAACGATAAATGTTTATGTGTGGGATTGCTGAGATTCGAGAAACCTTCACCGAAAGCAAAATTGGAAACGGAAAGAGTAGAAAACTTGGCACAGTATGTTAGGAAAACGAAAAACAAATACACTGTACTCAAATTGCCATCCGTCTTTTTTCTTTTTCTTCCTTTTCAGATTTAATTTTCTTTCGTAGTGGAAGTGCTTTTATTATCCTCCTTCCAGTATACCAAACAATTACTCTGCCTATGTTTGATGGTTTATAGTCTGCAACATTCCAATAGCACATAGGTAGACTCCTTCTTAGCCACTTCACCTATTTATAAAAATGCTTTTGTCGCTTATATTGTCAAAGAAAAAACAAGGTGGGGCAAACAATGATAGCTCCCAGTGGATCCTGGGAATAGAGATGAAGGTGACATGAAGGTCTGAATTAGAGAGGTCATTTAAACAAATTTTCCAGGCCACTTTACCCAGTAGAGATGAGCAGAAGAAGTTTACAGGAATAAGATTTCTTGTATTTTGTTAAACATTTCATACTTTAGTGATTTTCTGTCATAAGTGAATTTTAGACCAAGACATTTCCATTTGCACAGTGTCATCAGAAGTTTTAGTTTGAACATAATTTACCTTAGTTTTATTGTAGTTGGCCTGGGACCATTTTTACCTCCCTTGAGAGTCTCACCAAACAGCAGGAATCATTATCAAGTACTTAGCTGATAAATAATAAGAAAGCTACCTGACCAGGTAAAAGTATGAAATCACATTCACACTTAACAAAAGGGAATGATTAAACGGTTGAATTCCAATAGGAGGTGTCAGACAGACACTGAACTACACTAAACTGACAGTTATTTGGTTTGAAATGCTACATAATTTCTACACAAAATATTTATTTATATATATATATATATATATATATATATATATATATATATATGTTGTGAGTTTTTACATTTGCTTCCATTTCCTACCATGAAAGTATAGATCTTGATCATGTTACATAATTTGCACATTGCAAATGTGGTGCAAATACCTCATGTTATGTGTTGAAAGTGTGGTTCATATTCAACTTGCATCAAAACTGAAATATAATCCCTTCCTAAGATGTAACTGCTGTAATGCGATAACATCACTATCACTTCGTAATCTGTCACCAGCTTTGGTATCTCTATTCTGCAAGGGTGCAATGGGAAGAAATATTTTAATTATTTGGTTGTGGGCGATCTACTAGGTGGAACAGATTAGTTGAAGATGTGAAGATGGTACAGGAAGAGGCCAAGTGATTTTAGACACTTACCTGGACCATCTACAGGGGCTTGGAGAATCTCGTTGTTGTGCCAGGGGTGTTCCACTCCACCCTCCCTTATTTCATCTTCCTCTTCCTCTCTTGGCAACAGAGCTTGGCTCACGTGTGGGGAGGACTCATGGTTGGGCACGCTAGCTGGATTTGTCTCCTGGTCCAGAGGGTTGGCAATACCGTCATCCTCAGCAATATGAAGCTTGTCCTCCTCATCTGTTTCAGAACCTGTGTCCACTACATTGTCATAGTTCACCA